CATTACAATGTGTTGTGATTTGATGTTTATCTGCCTCTTGTTCGATTAGATAATATGTTACCTGAAGACAGAGAGACTGTGTCTTTTGATTTGCCCTATATTCAAAATCAATACAGCATCTCATATAGCTGAAGGAGTTATTCTTACTCATTTTAACATTTGAGAAAATTCAAAAATATTCACAAATTGCCATATATGTGCTTACTTTTTCTGTTTACACTTTTCTCTCTAACAGGATGTTATTTCAGGTGCAATCAACCAATTTCAAAGCACGGTGTTATCAGTTCCTAATCTTGTGCCCGACCCACATTTTGATGCTTTCACCAGTCCTTACATTAACAACAAACCTGAAGAAAAAACTTGTGGATCTGGTCCAAGCTTAGCAGCAGTATTTGATGATGATAAGAATTTTCACACAATTGTTTTTCAAATAAAGGTATATTTGCTTTTACTAAAATTATTTTACAATGATCTTAATTTTTAAGAATTGAGCAATTATCTTCTTCCTTTCTTACACTTATATTGAATTCTGCTTAATCCCTAAATGGTAAAAGTTGAAAGTAGTGTTTATCCTTTCAAAATTATCCTGTAAACCATGAGAGTGTCTCAAGGTAGAGTTGACAAAATGTAAGAGACTTAAAGTATCCAATGTGATGACAATATATGCGCACCATGTGAAAAGATTACTCTACTGAACTAATTAACATACCATCACCTCTTATGTATACTTCCCCTCCCACCTTTGATGAGCCCATTTAAGTTTTCTGTAACAAGTTTGAGTTGTACAAGTGTTATCAGTTACAGTCACCATATTATACATTAGGTCCTCAGAACTTATTTATCTTAAAACTGGATTAAAAAATCCTTAAAATATGGATTTTTCATAAATAGTGCTGGAATAGTGGTTAGCCTTTTAGACAAAGATAAAATTAGATCTGATTTCACATTGTATATAGAATAATTGCATTGGAGATCTCAAAGTAAAAAATTTGAGAGCAGACACATTTAGGGGGAAAATGGGTGAATTCTGGGAGGGAAAGTGATCAAAACAGGGGAGGGAAGCGTACAAGGGACTATGGTGATGATGCATAGGTGAACTGGTGGTGGGAATTTTACAGGGGCTACACCTGTGAAGAGAAAGCAAACATTCCACAAAAATGAACAATGATGTAAAATATATATAAACTTTTAAAAATGGTGAATTCTTGTATAATCTTGTTCTTAAAGAAAGGTTATCTAAGTTTGACTCAAAATCCAGATGCAATAATAGAACAGATTGATACACTTGACTATTTTAAAATAAGAAAAATATCACAGAGCAAAAAAAAATCAATAAGTGTTTCCTTTCATTTATAAGGAACAACTCCTCAAAATTCAGATTTAAGGATGTATTTTTTTCTTTATTTCGTAAAGGAATTCATTGACTTCTTATCAAACATGGTATATTTGCTCACTTATGTATCCCCAACTCAAAGCATACTGTTGGGCACAGAGAAGGCTTTTGTTTGCTTGTTTGTTTGGTGATAGTGAGTTGAATTCTGCTTAGGAAAAGTATAATTTTGTCTGTTTATAACATCTAGGAGGCCATAAGGGCAGCATTTGAATCTGCCCAATTATATGCAGCTACGTTTGAAAAGTTTCAGATATTCTTCAAGGAAAATGAAAGTCTTGATTTGCAAGCTCTTAAACTTCAAGAACCTGGTAAGTTTTCCATTTAACATAACTAATCATTTCTGATAGAGATATCAAAGTGTATATTTTTCTGGGTTTCTGTTTGGTAGTGTATGATGACGGAAATGGTAGCTCAAAAGGGCTGGCCTGACAAAAAGCAAGAATTTGTTTATTTCTAGGTTACTTTCTGTAGAATTACTTTTTTCCTTTAGTTTTACTAGTGTTGCTGTTTCTATTTCAGTACATTATGGGAAGCAATTCCTCCTTAATAACTTATCTTTGCATATGAAGCTGTATTAGTGCTAAGGTTTTGTAGTCTATATATGGGAAAGAAGTTGAAATGAATGTTTATCTCTGTAGCTACTTTAAATAATTTTACATAAATATTTTTTCTATCTGAGGAATTCAAGTTTCTCTTTATATGTGGGGCTGTACTGCAAACTGATTGTGAATCAACAGTTTTTAGTCATGAAATTAGACCCAAAGGGAAATGATTTTATACGATTTATTATCTTCAGCAAAAGAAAATTATGTCTAATGCCCACATGAAATCTAGACAAGGACATTGTCATATGATTATATTAGATGTGTGTGATTCATTATTATTAAAAATGTGAAGCATAACAGTCAGATTTTTAGTTTCATAAATCAAATTTATTGCTTTATTGTCTTAGACACAAAAGTATTAGTATTCTCATTTTTCAAATAAGGAAATGAAGATATAGTGATAAGGCAACTTCAAGATTACAGTTAGTGCATGGTTTAGAAACTGTTTTCTCTGGCTTGAAAACTAACCGTTATCCACATTGCCTCTCCTCTGTCTCAGAAAGAGAAAATAGATGTTCTTTGTCATCTATCAGCTTTGCTTTTCTTCTTCTCTTTGGGTGTGTGACCATGCCAAGTCACTTAATCTCTATTGATCTCAATTACTTTTTTTTTTTAAAGATTTTATTATTTGTTTTTATACAAGAACCGGGGTATAGGCCAGATGCACGGGAGGGTGAGAGGATTCATCAGAGACAGAGTGGGGAGCAGAACAGGCAGACTGACGAAATACACTGCTGAGGGGAGCAGCGGGTGAGACAGGAGAGGTCTGCCACGCCATGTGGGACTCTCCCTGGCCGGCTGGGATCAAACCCGTGCTGCAGAGGCTGCCGACAGCTTCACAGTGCGGCGTTCAACCACCTGCGCTACCAGGGAGGCCCTCAATTACTTTTTGTATAACATTAGAGTACTGGGCCAAATTGGTGCTTCCCGAGTTGGTATTCCTTGGACTACTCTTCTGAAGAATAGTTACATGATACTATGAGAAAAGACTGTTCAAATAAATTTGGAAAATGCTGGGTCAAGCAGTGTCATACAGGTTTCCCTACCAGATGACTTCTCAGATCATTTGATATCCTGACTTTGTTAGTTCTCCAAAATATTCACATGAAAACCTTCTCAAGTGAATACAGTAAGTAATTGGCCTCTCTTGGTCCATGTCCCATTTATGGTATTGTGAAGAAAATGAAGCTCAGAAAGATTAAGTGACTTACCCAGAGCCATATGTGGGTTACACACTTCCACATAGGTCCTCTAACACTCTGTCTGGTGTGTTCTTTATACTATGTCCAATTCTCCCTTGTATTCGGGAGAGGAAGTGGCACAAATACAAGCATGAATCAACAACCGCTAATAAAGTGGAGGAAGGTTAAATAAGGAGAACAGGATACAGTAAGGAAATCAATCTGACCCAAGTGGAGGAATTGGAAGTAAAGTTAGCTAAAATTTGAAAGGCCCTTCTTGTTTGAAAAACAAGAAGTTTAGTATTGGATATGTGTTAGAAAGAATTGTTCTTGACCAACAGTTGTGATAAAAGTGTATTCAAGGATAATCAGGCTTCCACTGGTTTCAGATAGACTGAAGAAGGGAGAATATAAAGGCAGAAAATTTTTCAAAATGCAAATGAATCACATAGCAGATGCAATTTTGCAAAGGCTTTTACCATACTGTGGGAGCAAGGATGACAAAGAGGTTTTGGGAAGAAGAGTGGAGATGATAACTTTAGTTATGTTTTATCTCCTGTATGTCAAAGTTTTGTTGTTAATATCCTCAAAATGCTTTCCTTTGAGGTACCATATGGGAGAACCCTTAGATTAAGCCCAACCTCAAATCAACCTGACACTAGAATAGAGTCCATTCCAGACTAGATCCTCTAATGTAATTACAAACTGTTTTCCCGTGTGTATGTGTGACATGTACATATACATGCTCCTCACAAGGTAAGATCAGTCCCATAGAGTGGGAAGGGGCAATGCAGATCAGAATACCTGCTCTGCTACTAGGGGACCCAGACTTTGTGGAGTACCCAGCTCCTCCAGAAGGTTTCCACTCTTTCAAAGGAGTATGCCTCCACACACCCACCACTTTCCCCCTCAGACTCCCTGGCTAAGCTCACAGCCCTACCACCAGAACATGAACCCCAGGTTCCTCTCTCCAGCCACCTCCTGTTCAATGTAGCGTGAATCTTCTCAGGATCAATCTGTTGAAGTCTGCACTAGTCTGATGTGCAAGGGATAACTAATCCCTTATCTATCAGATTATCTCTCCAAACACTCTTCCTCTGGCCCACTGCTCCAGTAACCTCAGCCAGTGGGCACCAGGTCCCACTGTAACCTCGTTGGAGGTATGTCATATCTGCTCCCCTGAGCAGGGCCTGTTCCACTGCTTGCCAGGGCTTATTGGGTCTAGGCTACTTCCCAGTGCTGCCTCAGGGTTCACTGGGATCTGCAGACATCTACTAAGGCAGGGCTGCTTCCAGATCCCACACCAGGGCTCACTTGTGTCTGCTGCTACATACTGTCGCTCGCCAGTTCCATTCTTGGGGGGCCCACCAGGCCACTGGGACTCATCTTGCCCACCCAGGCTATCCATGTGACTCGTTCCACTGCTCTTGAGGCCCCCTTCCTCCAGATGTTGCACCTAGTGTGTGCTGTCGTTGCCTGTTTTTAGTGTAGGAATTATTGGCTTTGTTCTGCTGCAGTCTAGCTATGAGTATATGGAGTAGGTGAGCCCAGCATCCTTCACTGTGCTACCATCCTGCCACTCTCCACTGTGTTATATTTTTTTATGCTGCTATTCCTCTTTGGATCTCCCCAAAGGGAGGACATTTAGTCTGTCCTCTGGAACTAAAGTGTTCTTCACCTCCAATTCCTCTAGCTTTCTTCCTACCTTCCTCAATCGCAAACAGAGTCCCAGAAGCCCTCAGATGGGGGTGAGGGGGCGGGAAACAAATCTAATCACTCTTATTGTTACCTGTGTTCGTGGAGAAAGGTCAGACGCAATCCCTCAGGTATACAAATTATTTTGATGTGCCATCTCTACATAAGAACCAGAAGACATATATTTATTGTTATAAAACAGAAGTTTCCTTATTACACGAATAAAATATAAGGCTTTGTGGATTAACATTTAAAATTTCTACCAGGTATTGTATGTATAAATAACCACATGATAAATGTACATGTAAAAATTATAATGCAATGATTTTAATGTATTTGTAATCATTCTTTAAAATCTATTATAATGTATGTTATGCTTTATATGAATTATTTTATGTAGATGTTAAGTTTTTTAGTGAACAACTGGAAAAATATCACAGACAGCACAAGGATGCAGTAGCTCTAAGACCCACCAGAAATGTGGGATTGCTGCTCATTGACACTAAGCAGTTAAAGGAAAAACTAATTCCATCACCTTTGCGATGCTTGGAGGTAACTATGAGCTAGGACAAATTTTAATTGTCTTCTCTATATTATTAATTATTTTCCTACTAAAAGGAGACTTTATATTGTAATATGGCAACACTTGAAAATAACCTAAGTTTTCTAGACATCTTTCATTTCTAGGGAAACTCCCATATTCTTCTTTCTGTACAAAGCACCGCGAAGTTTCAGATGAGGGAACTGCCGGCCTCAGATTAGTCATTTACTACCACTCCTTTTTCCCTTGTTGGAGCATTTCACAGCTTCCTGCAGAAATGATACCAATGTATCAGCTCAGAGCCCTAGTGGAAATACTGGTAGATTCTAAGATACTGAGGTCAATTTCATAGGACCATTCCTGATCTGAAACTATCTCTAAAATTCTGATTATATTTTGGTGAGTTGTAGAACTACAGATAATTTGTATGGTTCTGCGGTAACTTCCCTGTCTTCCTGTGGAGCCAACGTATACCTGGACATCCACAAATGACTCCACCTTCTCTTATAGTATGGAACATGGATTGGAAACTATAACCCACAAAGTCATTCCAGCCTGTTTTGTACATACAACTTTTTTGGAACATAGCAATGACAACGTGTTTATGTATTGCCTATGGTTGTTTTGTCACGACAAGGGCAAAATTGCATAGTTGTGACAGATAATTTATGTCCATTGTTTTGTGCTGGTCTCAATCTACTAATAGCACTACTATCAGATAGAATTGACTGGGGGCGTTCATTTTGGCCCTAGCGAGTTTCCCACAGACACCTCCCCTTTGCAAATCCATGAGCCAACCCGTGTGGTTCTTATTATGATTACAAGATGTCCGTCAGCAATTGCCATCAGGAAACTTTGAAAAAAGTAAAAGTTTATTGGTTACAGGACCTGGAAGTTCCACAGCACAACTATGGCCACATAATAATAGATTCATAGATAAAGCATGTGAACCTGGTACCCTGCTTTTATTGGGGTCAAGAGGAGAGTTGGGACCCAGAGCTTTATTGGTGAATTTAAAACTCAAGAGTGAGATTTTAAAGCACTGGAAGAGAAAGAGCAAGCAGCCCAAATGGTCAGTTATTGAAATCAACTAAGTTTTCTAAAACAAGGGAATCTCAGAGAAGGAAGTCAGCCTGTGTCGTTATTAGGTGTGTGACTGACAAAAAGTCCTCTTTGAGGTGGATACCCAGCCATCAAAGCTTAATTCAGCACTTGTTTTATAAAAAAGAGAAAACCTGTCAGGGCTTACACTGCATTTGCAGTGTCTAAAATTACTATTCTGACCCTCTGCTGACCCCAGTATAGATGGTGGAGGACAGAGCACTGTAGGCTGCAGACTTGAGTGCTGCAGTCTTTTCTGTCATTAATTGGTTGTGTGGCAAAGCTTTCTTTTAGAGCTTTGCTTCATCTGTTAAAAACATTAAAAATATTTAATTGAACAAATTCAGTTTAATTTCAGCAAACACTTTTGACCAATACAACATCCAAGCCAAAGAAAACTTCAGAATGTATTAAGCAATCAGGAAACTTGTAGGCTGTATATCCAAAAAGTCCAGCGGTTGGGTGGACATCAGGGAGGTTTGATTGTTGGTGTTACCAAGGACCCAATTTTTTGTATTCTCTTTAGTGAGCCTCCTGATGTGCCAGCTTCATCCTAAAGCTAGCCTTCCCTCGGATTTGTGAAATGATTGTTAAAAGCTCCCACAAGCTAATTATTTCCTTGGTCATGTATAGAGAAAGAGAGATTGATATTCTGAAAATACATAAACTAAAGTTACAGGTGCACCCCAATCCATCATGTTAGCCAAAGAAAGCCAGACTATTTTCCAAGTGATGAGATTCTCTTTGTTACTGGAGAAGAGACTGATTTTCCCCAAACCACGTGACTACTACCCAACATGAAAAATTAAATTGATGATGGAGAGGGCACCACAATGTCCACTACATATGGCAAAGTAGCAGGGGTGCTTGCAAGGTATCTGAGTATTTAGGCAACCTTTTAATAAGCAACTCAATCTATTTTGTTCTGAAAGTGATCTTCAAAAGTTGGCCTTCCTATTGATTCCTCTGATTAGTAGTCCTTTAATAAAAAAAAAAAAAAAACCTTCAAATACAAAACTGCTTCCAGTACCTGCTGATTTAACAGATACTCTATTAGGATTTATCTAAAATCTATAATAAAATGGAAATACTCAAATATTTATGATTGGTATTTTCCTTTTCTTTCCTAGGTACTAAATAGTATGCTACCTTGTCTAAGCAAGAAAAAAGTCGATGCCATTATCTCTGAGGCACAAGATGCAGAGTACAAACTTGAGTTTGTTCCAACTACCACCATAGAATATGTTAACAGCTTAGTATTTCTTGATGAAATTCAGGAAAGGGTGAGTTAATTATCTTATATATCTCAAGATTCCAGATATTCTAGATCTTGGGCATTTGTTTACTTTAAGCAATACATGCAGATGAACACCCTTGATGTACACTCAGTCCTATTTATAGCTTGTTTAACTTATTAGGCACTTCTGGTTGAAATTATTGTAACAAAAATTCACATAACTTAGAAAAATGAGATTTATTATAAGTTTTCAGGAATAGTTTCTGGAATCCAAAGATCTATATAGAACCTAGCTTTTTAAAAGGACAGGAACTGGGGACCAGAGTAGCCCAGGTAAACCAAAAATGCCCCTCTCTCTCCACCTCTCATTTCCCTTCTTTCTAAATCAGTGGTTTTGAAAGGTGGAGCCCAAACCAGTGCATCAGTAACAGTGGGGAACTTGTTAGAAATACCTATCTTGGGCCTCACCTAGACCTTCTGAACAGAAATTTGGGGCATCTCAGACTGTGTTTTAGCAAACTGTCCAAAGTGATTGCAATACAAGCTAAAGATTGAGAGCCATTTCTCAGGAGCCTCGCTGCAGTTATCTTCTCAGATTAGGGACTTCTTTTCTGTCTCCACATGAAAGCAAATGGTCTCTGCCGCAACTAAAATCTGTTTGTTCCCATGTTCAAGCAAGAGGTCATACTGAGGTGGGTTTGCAAGATCCCAATTTCATGCTGCTTGGTTCTTGTGGCCAGAAGTTTGAATCAACTGTACAAACATGGCTGCTCCTTCTAGAATCATATAGTAGAGTTTGTGTTATGGGGGGAGGGTTCCCCCAATTGGAGATTCTCTTGCTAAGAAAGTAGGAAAAGTACTGTCCCCCTGAAGGTAGGGAATCAATCTAATAAAGATGGATGTTTAGTATTCAGTTAGAGCTAGTAAAAGTATTTATTAAAGGATAATGGGACACATGCAGCCAGCCAGGAGCATGGCCTTCCTACCTCAAAAGCTGCTCTTATTAATCACTGCATGAATGGGACACATGCAGCCAGCCAGGAGCATGGCCTTCCTACCTCAAAAGCTGCTCTGGGATAATCACTGCTGAGCACACAGGCCTAGAATTTCCAATAGGACACCTGAGCATCCTCTTGGCACATGTTTTCTCTGGAAGCTTTAAATATTGGCATTTAATGCTACTAGAGGACAAAAGAGAACAGAAAAATAAACATTTACAAAAGTAGTAACTCAGTTCAGCTCCAAACATCTCACTCCCATGCCTGATTACCTATCGTGTAGCAATGACGTTTGTTGTTCAACAGGCTTCAACTCGTTTGCCAGTGACATTAAACACTCTTCTCACGTGTCATCTGTTCGCAGTGTGAAGTTCACAGTGCACAGAGACTCTCTCCTATTAGACAAAACTTAAAGGGTAAATAGAACTCTGATATATTTTAACGAGTAACCAATGTTCCTATTCAGATCGAAAGCCTGGAAGAGGAAGGGAATATAGTGATTCAGATGTACAAACTCATTGAACAGTATCAGGTTCCCACACCTCCTGAAGACTTTGCTGTTTTTGCAACAATGAAGCCCTCCATTGTTGCTGTTCGGAATGCCATTGATAAATCCGTGGGTGATAGAGAAACAAGTATTAAGCAGTTTTGTCTGCATTTGGGCAGAGATCTTGAAGATCTAAACAATGAAGTCAATGAAATAAAGCTGCAAGCACAGGTAAGCTAAAGTAGGGTTTTTTAAAAGTTGCAAAGTCTAGCTACTGCATTTTAATTAAATCATTTAGAGCTCATATTGCAATTTAACCTGACTTTTGTTTCTTAAGTTTTCATTCTAACCAATTAACAGTGTTTTTGAGATGCTATTTAAAGTTGAAAGTATTTCTAAATCTCTTTTTAAATTCTGAATAAATTCTAGACCAGTGGAGGCAAAGCATATATGTAATATTTACTTCTCAGTCTACTGGCTTGTATTTATTTTTTTGAAGTAAATATTTTTACAACTTGTTAGCATATTTCATAGCCGTTGTTGCAGTTTTAAAGTTTGTTTAGCCACATAATAGAATATTCCCCCTTTAGAGAGAGTAGAAATCAATAAATGATTATAAAGACTACTTGGTCAACTTGCACCAATCTTGCCAAACAAAAGATACAAGCACCCCTTCTGCTAATTTGCCATATGTAATGGACATGGTGGTGTCCGCCTCAGTATCAATTTAACTGTTCTCATGTTGGGGGGTAGTCCTATGGTTTGGGGTAAATTGATTTCTAGAGCATGTTGCCATTTTGAAGGTAGGGCTGGTTAAAGCAGATGGGTCTCCTCCGCTACTCTCAGCAGTGTATTTCAGTGGATCTGCCTGTTCTGTCCCCCACTCTGTCTCTGGTGAATCCTCTCACCCCCCGCATCTCTGGCCTGTACCCCAGCTCTTGTATGCATAAATAAATAAATCTTCAAAAAAAATATTTACAAAGCATAACATCCAAGCAGGTACCAGACTGATGTCTAGAGCACAGACCCAAAGATAAAGATATGGAGATTGAGCCCATTGTGGAATCTTGGTCCCTTTCAAATTCTACATAGTTATCCAAAATTAGCAACCAACCCAAAGGCTCACAAGGAGTGGCCCCTCTCAAACAGAAGAAGGCTGTATCTGTGCAGTCTCTGCACAGGCTCCGGGCAGCACTCCCACTGCCCACCGGTGACTATGCAGCTGACTCTTCTCACCAACTCTCTCTCTCTGCAGGGCAGCAGCTTCCTGCCTTCCCATGACCTGTCAAGGCCGCCTGCCTGCAACCATGCAGGCCTCTCTCAGCAAACCTGTCCCTTCTGGGGCAGCTCTTTCTGCCCGCTTGTGTCTATGCAAGTGTCTTTAACTGTTTTATCCCTTCCCTAATAAACCTGTTTTTTAAATATTTAAAAAAAAAAAAGCAGATGGGTCTCCCAATCTATGGCTATAATAGTTCTCACATTGCTCCCATTATCTCAGATTCTTCCAAACCTACTTAGGTGTTTCTACTCTGCTCCTGAACTTTTCCTTTTCATATGGGGTTTCAACCCCACAGTTCAGCCAGAAAACTTATACTTGATCATTTATTTATTTTCTTTCTTCCTCTCTCTCAGAAATCAAAGACTTTCTATTTCCTTTATTGTAAACTGATATCTTTATTGTAACTTTATTGTAAACATATCTTTTTCTTCTCTTCTCCATGTCATCATCTCTCCTTACCTGAAGTCATGTTGGCTGAAGTGTAGGAAATGAGAGTGGATGGGGGAAAATAGATTAAGCATTATTTTAAAACAATGTTTTCCCATGCTTCTCCTTTGCACTGTTTACAACATATATGCATTATTTAAAATTCAGGAAAAGCAACCATTTTAACATATTTTCTAAAAGTCAGAGTGAAAAGAGATTTTAAAAATACTTTTTTAAAACATGTTTATTGATTCACTTGCTTTAATGGTCTACATCAAAAAGTAGGAATGTAAAAAGTATCAAAATAATCAAAAACTATATTAATTTTACAGGATCCACAGATTTTGGATATTAATGCTGACCCAGACAAAATAAAGGTCGTATTGAATGAACTGCAAGCAGTTTTAGATGATCTTCAAAAACGCGCATTTCAATATAAATCTTATCAGAAGAATTTTAAGGTAATGACAGATCTATGCGTCTATTTATAAAAATGTGAATAGGTATGGCATTGATACAATGTGACTGTACACATTCAATGTTTGAACACCTATTTGCTAGTTATTTTTCTGAAACTGTCTGAAATAAAACACGTTTTGTTCCTTGCCTTGAAGTGTTTAAACATTAGTACACATGAAACAAAATGTATTTCTTATTAAAAAATAGCTGTGAAGTATAGATAAACTGTCAGACCAAGATTGTAATTTCCATGTTCAAATGTTTGTGAACTTTTAAATATGGTCAAAGTATCTGTTCTTTCTTAAATGATATTCAGGCTTCTTTTACATTCATGTATGTGTTATGATTCCATGAATATTGTCTGATTTGCCCTTGGTTTCATGTGCCAGTCTGATGAAAGAAGAGAGTTTGACTAAACCTGGACATAGATGAGTCCAAAAGGGTAGGTTTGAAAGGCTAAAAGATATGACTCAAAAAAAAAAAAAAAAAAAAGGAAGAAGAAAAGAAGAGAAATGGATGGAAGACGTAAGTAGTTTGAACAGCTTTCAGTGCGACCAAGAAAAGAGAAAAGATTCCTAAGGTCAAAAGTAGAGATCCACCACAATGAAGGAGATTTTGTTAATCTGTCCAGAATTCTTGAAGTGACTTGACCTCATGTGGAAATGCACATCTGTCTCTTGAACGTGGCACTCTATAATGTGACTGATAGAATACTTGAGGCAGGGCACTTACACATGAGAAAACTAGTTGTTTCCAGGTTTTGTTAACTGACATACAAGATAGGAAAGTATGTAGTAGGAAAGGAGGTATAGAAGAAACATTGTTTGATTAAATACTACTGCTATCAGAAAAAGAGCATTGCTTGAGCCAAAACCTGAGTTGTTCCCTTGCTCTCTCTATACTTGACCAATTTTCCCTTTATAATCATCTCAGGTCCAATCTTCCTTCTGTAACTCTCAGTCTTTTGAGGGGGCGGTGGGGTAAGAAGTGAAGCCCTAAATGGCCTAAGAGATCATTACTAATTCTTTTTTTTGTTTGTTTTGTTTTACATCATTGTTCATTTTTAAACAATGTTTGCTTCCCCCCACCCTCAGGTGCAGTCCCCATAGAATTCCCTTCACCAACATACCGGTGCACCATCACTTCAGTCCCTCCCTCCCTCCCTCTGATCCCTCTCCCTCCTCCTCCCCTGCAGGACGTCTCTGGTTTGTAATTGTTTATTTTTGTTTTGTTGTGTTTTGTGTTTTCATTTTTTCCCCCTGATGTCTTATTTGGTTTTCCTATATTTCTCCTATAAATAAAACCATTTGATATTTTTCTTTTTCCTTCTTTTCTTTTTCATTCCTTCACTAAGCAGAATTCCTTCTAGCTCCATCCATGTTGCTGTGAATGGCATGAGTTTATCTTGTGGAGCTTCTTGATCCAGTCATCTATTACTAATTCTTAATGAGTACCCTGATGTCAGGGTAACACTGGCTTCATAAAATGAGTTTGGAAGTGTTCCTGCCTCTTCAACTTTGGAAAAGTTTGAGAAAATTGGTGTTAATTCTTCTTTAAATGTTTGATAGAATTCACCAGTGAAGCCATCCAGACTTTTCTGTGGCAAAGTTTTTATTACAGATTCAATCTTTTTACTGGTTATTACTCTGTCCAGATTTTCTGTTTCTTCTGGATTCAGAATTGGAAATCTATCCCTTTCTCTAAGTTTTTAAATTTGTTGGTTCATGGTAGTCTGTTACTAAGTATTTTGTGATATCAGCTATAATATCTCCCCTTACATTTCTGATTTTATTTGTCTTCTCTCTTCTTAGTCTAGCTAAAATTTTATCAATTTTACTTACCATTTCAGAAAGTCAACTTGGGGTCACATTAATCTTCCCTATTGTTTTTCTTGTCTCTATTTCATTTATTTCTGCTTTGATCTTTGTTATTTCCTTCCTTCCGCTAACTTTAGGTTTAATTTTTTCTTCTTTTTGTAATCCCTTAATTTGTGAAGTTGCTGAGATCTTTCTATTTTCTTAATATATGCATTTATCTCTATAAACTTCTCTCTTAGAACTGCTTTTGCAGCACCATGTAGATGTTTATATGCTGTGTTTCTATTTTTGTTTGCCTCTATGTTCTTTTTTTAATTTTCCTTTTGATTTCAGGGTTTGTGTTGGCTTAGTGTCCACATGCTTGCAAATTTTTCAACTTTCCTGTTATTGTTGATTTCTAGTTTCATACTGTGATCAGAAAAGATATTTGGTATGATTTCAGTCTTTTTAAATTTTCTAAGAGCTGTTTTGTAGCTTGTCTATCCATTGTTGACCTAACCTAGGTAATCCAGGTGTTCTTGAAAATAATGCATATTCTGCTATTGGATAGAATTGGATAGACTGTTCAAAGCCATAACTTATCACAGGGCTCACAATTTTTGTGCAACCAAACCTGTGACAGTTTTTCCACCTCTGAGCCAAGGCAATCTCAAAATATTTCTCATGAAAATAGCTTCTTAGGTTTTTCTGTAACCCTTTATATGGTTAAAAGAGGAAAAAAAAAAAAAGCAAAAACCAGGCTGTTCTCTCCATATTACTCTTGTAATATTTAATGTATTTGGGGAATATTTAAGTTCTAAGGCAGTGTAAAGAATTACACTTTGCCACCCAAGTGGAAATTTGAATATATATGGAGTTTTGA